TCAGCAAACACCAGAGCACACTCAGATGCCACATGTGTGAAATGCTGTCCTGGAGGGCTATGGGGACGGGGAAGGAATGTAAAGAGCAGAGGTGACGACCCTCCTGCTGACATCCACAGGCCTGGAGAAAATGTCACAGTAGTCCACCTTTAGATATTGACCTTTCTGCTCTGCCACTGTGGCTTATTTTAAATAGGCTTCTCTCTCTTCCTCTCTCTCACATTACCTTTCCCCCAGACTAAGCCAAGTTATCTGTCTTGCAGCCACAACCACAATGGACACCAAGTAATTCAGACTTCAGGGATGGGCCAGAAGGTCTACAGAATGGCCATCTCCCAAGTTAACAAGCGAATCTCACACACACGCCTCAGGGAGCACCAGAATGAATCTCTTCTTTAAAAACTTCCTGTTGTTCCAAAGGCATAGAATCCCAGGCTCTGGGACAAAAGTCTCCTCTGCTTCTCCTTGGATAGTAAAGCAATAATATTTTACCTTTTTTCTCAAAATGATATCCTAATTTTACATGACTACAGTGACAAGCACCAAATTTTGATAACAGTAAGGAAAGTTTTTTAAATATGTACAAGTTCCTGATACACTCAGAGGAAATGAGTGAGTGATTTGTGACAGAGGGGAACATGACAGTTGTGTTGGTGACTGCATTGTGAGGTTGTGTGAAGGTGAGAGTGTGGGAAAGAGTGTATGCAGCTTCATGTGTAGTATGGTTGAGTAGGAACATGTATATTTGTGGGGAGACGTGCATGGAGTACTGTATACGTGGCATACATTCAGGGCATCTGAGTGGCAAACCACTCCCCTGTGCTAGGCATGTAAGTGGCAAACCGCTTACCCTGTAGGCACAGCCCTGGGCGTGAGGCCCTGTGCTGCAGTCCCTGGGCTTGCTTCATGGACCACTCCTCGATTGGTCACTGCAGGGACACTTGGCCAGAAATTGTATTGGTGGCTGCTTGCAATCTGCTTAGCTAGTAATATGAATATACATACATAGTAACTGTGCAACAAAATCAGACCTGCTTCTGGCTTGGTCTCCAGAGGTCTCGATTAGTGACTCCGCAGCCATACTCTCCCTACCCTGTTCCGTGGACCTCCTCGCTGGGTGAGAGAGAGCCCATGCATATACTCTGTGGTGAAATATACATATGAGTGTGAGAGCAGGGGATGTGACTATGTGTGGAAAGTGTGATGTCACCCATAGGGCTCTAGTCCTTCACTTGCAAATAGATTACATAGCAAACAATTGGACAACCCCAAAAGGATGTTGATAGATCAAAGAGGAAAATGAGTCATTAAGATAATTAAAACATTTTGCAATGAATGTGACAAATTCATAGAATGGAGTTCTTCGTTCTTACATGCATTTCTGCCCCTAATTGAATCTTCCAAATGCTAAGCATACTCAGGTGACCTGACTTCTCCCTTCTCTAATGTCCTAAAACCTCAGAAAAGAATGGAGAGTGGACATAGGTCAATTTTGCAAGCGCCAAAGAATTGATTATTGGCCATTACATTTTACAGTTCTGTATTGCATATCCAATGCACATCCCTTCAATCTCTCAAGTGGTTTCTACACTTTCCTCCTAGAAGCCTCAGAAGACAACCATAAGTATGCATTTATCCCTGGGAATTTGGATTCCAGCTCATAAAGGTAAGTGTGGTGTCTCTGCATGTTCTATGCTACATCCTCCTGCTCTGAATTCAAATTGCAGCTACCAGAAAGTGTCAGAGTGAGCTCCAGGGAGTGGGAATAGGCATGGTCCACACAGCTCCCACTATAATTAAATCCTGGGCATGCTCCTTCTCTTCCTAGACAGCACTGAACACAGGGTGAAGCATATTATGCTTGAATATGTGATGTCCCCAAAGGCTCATGTGAGAGACAATGCAGAAGGTCCATAAGGGAAACGATCAGATGATGAGTTATAACCAAGCCAGTGGATTAAGACACTTTAATGTATTATTGGGGTGGTAACTTTAGGCAGGTAGGGTGAGGCTGGATGAAGTGTGTCCCTAAACATACGCCTTTGAGGTTTGTATTTTCCCTGGTGAGCAGAGTGCTCTCCCCCCACCTTTCTCCACCTCCTTGTGATATCCTGAGGTGCTATCATCTGTTTTGCTTCTGCCATGATGCTCTGCTCACCTGAGGCCCAGAACTGTGGA